CCAAAAATGTACATTGTTGGGAGTCTTAACACTTGTTACAATGATAAGTATAGGCGTGGATACACTTCAAATCTTAATGTTGTTTTAAAGTCTTTATGTATTGGAACCTGATAGTCTCTTGAGCCCTTTGAAATACTATGTATAAATGTATTGTGTTTTAACTTATTGTTTATTTAATTGCTTTATTGTAAATTACCTTTATAATCACAAGTTCAGTAAAGCATGATAGAAATGTCAAGTGTGTGAGTGTTTTACTGTCAAAAGGTATGAAAAATACCCCTTCTAGCTGAGCTGTCAGGTACAGGCCGAGCTAGAGGAGGTACTGTGTCAGGTACTGTTCCAGGAGAACAGAATTAGACTGAGAAAACCAGAGTACACTTCCAAGTATAAGCACTCACCAGTTAAAGGCTCCAGCTGGGCTGCAGCTGCACACACAACCTGCTTTGCTGCCTCACACTGCATTCACAGATGCAAGTGACCTCATCTTTAACCCAATGCAATCATCTGGAAACCTGTAACTCCTCAGTGCTGCAATGGCAGAACAGTATCAGTCTTTCTGGCATTTAACCCATCTGACAGTCGTGGTCTCAGCATGCATGCACACTGTGACCATCAGAACATGCACTCTCCACGTCCAAAACCTACAATCTGTGGATAGATCAGAGGATAGCAACGCTACCCAACAGGCAAAACAGTGGGGTTTTTCTGGTTCCACCCAGGCTTTCAACACCACCTTTGGCCATTCGAACCTCACTGGCCTCCAACAAAACAAGTGTAGTATTTCCATGTGTGATCCAGGGAAGAAGGGTTCCAGGGAAGCCAGAGACTGCCATGTATTGCACTGCAGCTTTTGGGAAAGAAGTTATGAGTAATCCACAAAGGAGTGTAATTTGCCACGTGTGGGGAGCATTTGCACCACTTAAGAGGGTGATACAGAGAAGTGTCTCCCACACCTTTCATGTCCCTGTGATGCCTGGGTGGTGAATTATTTTGTGTTTGCAGTAGAGATTCTAGAGGCTTCATTAAGCATTACATTAAGGAGGAGAACTCTTAACAGATCATTTGAAGTAATATAATCCCCATTTAACAGAGATGGACACTAGAGCATCTTGCTTGCATTGCTGTAACTTTGTCTTCCATGCTTTCCCACTTTCTTGGGTGCCTGCAGCCATCTGGCTTGTCTTGTGACACTGCTTGCAGTTCATATTGCTCAAATGTCACTTTCAAAAGCTTTTAAATTATAGGGACATTAGGGCCAAAATGACCAGTTGAAGGTATTATTAATGTAAATTTTACACAACCATGCCATTTCAAAATTCCTGAATGTCTCTTCCTGGGACTGAAACGCATTCCAGAAGATTTTATTCTTACATCAAAATATGTCTGTGCAGGACCAAGACAGCAGTATTTTACACCTGATATTACCAGCTTCATTACAATGTTGGATTTTTCACTCACAGCCATTATTGCTTAAGTGATCTTTGCTTTGAGTGACAGTGAAATGCACCATAATTTAGAGGAAAAAGTGATCTTTGGTTCTAGATGCATTCACAGGTGACTTTTTGGGGGGTTTTTGCAGGAAGAGGCAAAAAAGTGGCAATAACCTACACTTATGTTTAAGATGCCAATAGGCCGATCTCATAACCAGAACAATGCCAAAGTTTCTTTCTGCCCTTAAGGTTCTTCAGTCAGTTCAGCTCTCATTAGGCATTTAGCTACTATGCTCATCAAGAGGTGACATCATTCCGATCCCATTCCTGATAAAAGCGTTTGCTCTGATCTCTATCCAAAATTCAGTTAGCTTCTAAGCCTCTGCCTTTCCTCCTCCATACTGCAAGGACACAGACAGCTTAAGCTGCCCTTTGTTAGAACACACCTGAATTACTATAATGCACCAGTCCCAAACTTTGGTGTTTGTTCCACAATCCACAGAGCATATGCCAGCTGTTGCTCCAAACATACCAACTTAGCTTTATTCCCTCTCATATTATACCTTAGTCATGTCTCACCTGAGTCTCGCTGGTGCTGTACACAGCTAGGGAAAGATCATCAGCCTCCAAACAGTTCAATAAAAACTCCCATCTGTATTTTTAGGAAACAGTTTAGAAAATGCTCATACCTATACCTGTACCACACTGGGAAGTCTTACTTCAAAACATGCAGGTGCGGAGGACATGCAGCTCATACACTATGGTTAAAATAGTGGACACCTGAATTTGGGTTTATGGCACAGGAACCAAGTCAGCTCCTTTCTGGGCTGAAGGGATGCATGTTCATAATCCCATTATACATTTTCTTTCTAATCCAGGAACAAAAAAAACCTTTCATATTCAGCTTAAGAGGTACCCAGCACGCCCTGCTGCTGCAAATGTTGAGGTTCAGGCATTTGATTCCCTTCCCACCACAGATTTATCTCTATCCTTCACAGAATCACAGAATGTACCAGGTGAAAGAACCACAGTGGGTCATCCCAAAGCACATGGCACAGGATTGAATCCAGGCAGTTCTTGAATATCCTTAGATAGGGAGACTACAACTTCTCTGGGTAATCTGTTCCAGTGCACACTCAACTACACAGTAAAGTTCTTCCTCATGTTGAGGTGGAATTTCTTGTGCATCAGTTTCTGCCTGTTGCCTGTTTTCACCCTTGCTTATGTCCTTTTCACAAGGCTGTTCCTAACTTACAATTAAAATCTCCTTCCTTTCCCTGCAAATCAACTCTTTTAATACCAAACTCCAGAAACATATTTAGTACTGTTTTACGTATGCCCTATATAAGAAGTATTTTGCTCCAAATCCCTTCAGACAAATGAACACAAGACCTGGCAAGCATGAACAACTGCAGCACAGTCAAGGAAAGGATGATTTTTCAGTCATCCTGGCAGGTCAATCCTCCACAGTCAAGAATATCGGTGAAAGCAGTCAAGTCCAGCTTTCAGGCAAGAAATTAAAAAAAAAAGAGCACGTGGCCAACAACCAAAATACAAAAGTGAAAAGGAGGAGCATATGGCAGCAGGAAGGAAAGACAGGAAGTATACACAGGCATGTACAGGATCCTCAAGAAACTCAAACCAATAGAGAAGATAGTATGAGAGCAGCAGCCTCACTAAATTTAGCAAAAGTGTTTTCGTATTTATCAAGGATAAAAATCAAGATATAGGAAGGAGGAAAGGAGAGCACAGGAAAAAAAGATGAAACTGATAATAATGCATGGCTTATGACCACTCAAGAGACTTCCTCCAAGAACAGTGTCCTCCCTACTGGCACCATTTCAACACAGGGCAGAGATGGGGGAATCTCTGGAACAGCTGTGCTCAAGTTTGGCGGGTAGATGGAAGGAAGAACAGCAAAGCAGTACACAGCAGGAGGGAAAAGCAATGCAGCACTCTCCCCATGCAGAACGTGACAGAACTCAAGGGCTTTTAAAATGCCTGAAGGCTCAAAGATCAAATGTGTTTTCATGATGTATTCAGAGGCTTTGTTTGCAACTTAGTAACTGGCCCACCTCTTGTTATTTTTAATAAATTGTATTGATTTATGTCTGTCTCAAAAATAGCAACAGTAATCACTAATTTTCTAAGAAATGAGACATAGCTTCCAACAGATTTCACTTTAAACAGGCAGTAGATAGCCAGTTTCCTTGCCCTGTGTCAGCAATAGCGAAGGAATTGAGACTGGTACCTCCTTGCTTCTTGAGTGCACCTAAAAGGACAAACATAGATGGTTACTAAAGCTTATTCATCGACTTTCTCATCTCCATCCCTTATCAGATACTTTGACGTGTGTAGTAGGAGCAGATTTGCTTGCCAACTGCTGCACTGAAGTCTGCACTTAAGAGTAATCCATTCTACTCCAGCCAGAACACTTGTGCAGAAAACATGCATGGCAGTGTTGGCTTCAAAATGTATTTCAAAATTTAACATCTGAAAATTTCTGTCACATCAGTTGATTTGTGCAAGATTTGAACCTATATGACATGTATACTAAACATTTTTAAAAACTCTTCTCGGCGACAAAAACCTTTAATCCTTACTGTCATGTTTTCTCAATTACTTATAATGCAAGCATAACCTGTGCCAGAACCCACTAGAACTCAGTTACAAATTCTATTTTTGTAGGCAGGAAAGGTCTAGTCGCATGCCCCCCCCACCTTCCCATTCTTTTACAACTGACACTTCCTGTGCTGTCCCCTGGATGAACAGGAAACGAGTCTCATGTGCAAAATGTGCTGACGTCACTCATCTGTCATAAGGTAAGAAATCCATAAACCCACAAATCAGGGATAACGGTACCCATCCAACAGGACCTAGAAAAGCATTCACTGAAGCACTGGGCTGGACACAGGAAGCACAAAGACTCCCCTCCTCCCATCCACCTCTTTGCAGCAGACACTGAATTTCTTCATTAAAGCACTGTTGCCTTCTACTGCACCTTTATCATTCACACTTCACCAGGGGAATTAGAGAGTAAACACATACAGTAAGTGTGCAAAAAATGGCATTTGAAAAGTGCTTGTAACTGAACTGAGAATTTCAAACTAGCTTTATTAGAAGGAAGACACGATTTTTCTTCTCAATTACACTAACTATGCAATGACTATAAGGTGCAAGGATTCCTATCTGTAGGAAGTATAAGAATTTGTGCTAGAAATACAAATTTACCAATACAAGTAAGTGATTAAAATGCTCCCTTACATTCGTGTCAGCCTTTGTAGGAAAGGTGCACCACTCCTGTGTAGTGATGCCACTGCTGGTAGTCATTGCAGTGTCACATGTAAATGGGAGCACAGGAAGCTGCAAGTGACAAAGTGACAAGAAATCCACTTTCAGTGTTCAGCTGGATAACCCACCAGGAGCACATTTAGAGTTGCAGGTCATCCATAATAAGCTGTTTTCTTCTACACAGGTCAATATTATCTCGCATGGAAAACTTTCAAGTGTTTACACATACTTTGACAAAAGAGCAAAAGCAGACTTTTTTTATCAGGCACGAAGCAAAGGGTTCTTTAAAACTGTTTAATTACATGTTTCAGGTAAGCACAGACAATACAGGTAGATTTCCCACCACTCAATATTTACATTCTTTTCTCTAGGCTTGAGCTGTTCATTAAGAGTGTTTTTCAATCAACATCCTTGTCAATCAATTTTGCTGCAAAGAAGGGTGCTGGAAAAGAACTATTGAGGGAAACATTCCATCAAGGCATGATCTTCTGTGGGACTTTTCTCCTTTAAGAACTACGTACTAGTAGTTCAAGATAGTTTGGGAAAATCCTGGCTTCCAAGATGACCTGAAGAATGCATTGAAACCAAGCAGTGTGTTGAAGTCCCATAAATAGTTAAATCAATACCAATATGTATATTGTGGAGCTGAAATTCTCTTTTCACTGTCATTGCTGCATGGTTTCTGTTAGGACAGTTTTACACCAATTTTGTTTTGTTCCTTTTTCATTAGCCTTTGTGCCTCTTTCTCCATTTTCTTACGCTGTTGTTCTGCTGCTCTTTTTTCCCTTTCTGCTATCTTCTGTTGTCTGTAATTAAAGAAAACATGAATTGCTAAATTACACGCACTCAATTTTCAGCATGATCATACCTTAAGTTCCTGTCAATACAAAGGTTATTATAATTAATATAAACAGAGCTTCAGTCTATTGTCATTAGGCTCAGAACAGTCATTCTTTTACTGTGCTGAAACCCTTTTTCAGATTAATCTAGAATTGTAGAATATTTTGCACTGGAACCAACCAGGATCAAAGTCCAACTCCTGGTCTGCACAGGACCATCCCCATGAATCACACCATATGCCTGAGAGTGTTGTTCAAACAGCTCTGGCAGGCTTGGTGATGTGACCACTTCTCTGGCGAGCCTTTTCCAGTGATCACCCTCTAGGTGAAGAACCTTTTCATAATATCCAACCCAATGCAATCTATTTGTAGGCAGTAATATTTGTTCAATTATTCTGCAACTTAAAAGTCACTAGCTTCTCAATGATTCAGAGTAAGTGAATCAATGAGAGTACAGGACAGTTGTACAGCCTAGAGCAAAAACTAAAAATCTATCTAATGCTTTCAGCAGCAGCTCAAAAGTTTTGAGTTTTTGCTGATTTGGTGTTTTCTTTGAGATTATCACCCATTATTGTACATTCTACCTGACAGCTGGCAGATCTGCCAGTCTAGCAATATGCAGAGTAATAATATTTGCCACATTACAGTTGCAGATTTTTATATTTCCCACACATCTGAACTGATGCAGAAGGGAAGAAGTGCTTTGCGCACCAGCCAGTATCTGGAGACAGTGAAGTTCCAAAAAGCCACACGGTGTTAATGCTGCTGTTCATGTGCAATTCTGAAGGGAGGGATTGCGGCAGCTCCTGTTTCTTTCCCCAGGATGACACACAGGACATGGAGGTTCTGCTCACAGCAGCTGTTCCGCGCCCTCTACAGTCTGGGAACCTGCATTCAGTTCTGCCCAGAGAGAGACCTTCACCTTGCCTCAGACACAGCAACCAGACAATAAAAATACAAACAAGTAGCTGCTATAAACTAAAAATGTGTGAGCTTAACTGCTTCCACTGGGATAAAAACTTTGTTGGTAATATAAAGTCTGAAGTTTCAGACAGGTATCTAAAATTTGCAGAAGAAACTAAGTTCCAACTAACTCAAGCGAACTGAAAATGCACTTTATCATCCACTAGACCAATTCATTACTGACTGGAAAATTTCTGTGTATCCCAGCCCAGAACCTATGGGAAAATGAGGAAAAGAGACTACAGGGAGTTCTCAGGCTGATAGCCTACTCTTCAGCACTTAATTCCATGCCTTAATTCCAGGGAGCATTTGATTTACTGTATGTGCTCATTCCAGCTGTTATGCATAAACTCACCAGAGAGGCCACAGGTTAGTCTTCACTGCTAATTAGCAGGATACAGCCCATTTCTGAATGACCGATCAGCACTCCATTACTATACAAAAATTATTCTGGTCTTACTGAGCACCAACAGGTACCAGACACAGCAGGCTAAGGGAGACCCTTACTTTTTCTACACCCTCATTTCAGTCTCAAAAAGCTCCACTGAAGTACAGTCAGTATTAACACTCTGGAATGTCAGGGGGACTCTGTCCTCTATTTGGCAGTCTGAAATACTATACTTCTTTCAAGAGTTACACTCATACATTAAGTCAACAGAGTGGTCACAGAATCTTCAGATCATTTTGCAGTCCAAGATGCAGTCTTCTAGCATTAAGAAGAGACTTCATAGCACTTCCTTACTCCTCTGTTGAAAACAGAGCCAGGTCTGCCCAGACTATACTTAAGTTATATGTTAAATATCAGATGTTAAAGACACCAGTGATGTCTACTGCAAGAAAAACTAAACCCAGACAGGATTTTCTACCAATCTTGCTAAAAATCAGCCAAGACTTTACTCATTTACAGATAAACACTGCTATTTCTGTGTCATGAATAAAACAAAGGTTTTCCTTCACGCAGCTGGGATACAGCTTACATAATGACCAGCTGTATTGAAGTAGCCAGCCATAGCTGGACAAGTGGTAACCCATAGACAGCTGGAATTCTGATCATGTTGTATCTACGGGAAACATTTAGACACACATCCCTTCTGTAACAATTGCAGTTTGATACTTTTTTGTGAGGCCAAAAAGAAATCCTATGAAAAGTAACCATTTGAGTTAAACTCTTTCAACAGTAAAGATGATAGGTTGAAATCTTTAGGAGAGGTTCAACCAAATAACACGATACTTTGAAAAATTAAAGCTTTTGGGAAACCCCACTGCTATCACCATGTATTTCTCTTCCTAAGTATTCTATAGCATGAACCTGACAGTTAACAAACAATGTAACTTTTGCCATCCTGGAAATATTTACTGCACAGATTTTGCACTCCAAGAATAAACTGGCATATACATACACCAGATAATCTTTAGTAGTTAATTCATATATGAGAACCACCTGTTTCAGAAAGTTTGAATACTACTTTTGATAGTCCTAACACCATCTGTAATGGAATGTGGCAAGGGTTAAGTAAATACAGTGCAGCCTCTGCAGCTTGCAGAAATAGCTGTTTCACTTCTCAGTAAAAAAATAAAGTATTTTCATTGCCTTTCATTTAAGCCTCAGCAGACTGCACTCTAGGTATTAAAGTTCTTACTGAGTCTGTTGATATGCTTTATAGTAAAAAGTACTATCTGTGGAAGAAAAACAGCCTTAAACCACATCATTCATGTCACAAAGCTTGTACTTTGGTACAAGAGCTGGAACAGTAATGAAGTTTAAAAAAAAAAAAAAAACACAAGCAAGGTATTGAGCAGAATGTACACACAGACACCAGATAAAGTTTATAAAAATATCTGCATTACATCCCTATTCTCACATGTTAAACTGCTACAGAGCAAGACTGACAGAGATAATAAATTGAATCAACTCTAATTATGATCAGGGCATTGAAAATGAGCTGGTAACTTCCCTCTTGTCTTATTCCACAGATTGAAAAAGTAATTTTTTCAGAACATAAAAATAAATACTTGATCAGAATCCTTTTTTCTTTTTTTTTTTTTCCCACAATACCTATTTTCCTTAGAATGATTTTTGAATTTACCATGTCTTTATCTCATACCTATCATATCTATTTCACTTTATCACTAGTGGACCACAGAAGCCATGTACTTGTGATTTAGTGCGTAGAATTACAACAGCATAGGAAGCTAAAGCTATCTGAGGCTAGCTACCTGATGATGTAACAAGCAATAAAGTTTGATACAACTGTAAGTTGTTACCAGTTCAAATCATTGTGTATGATAAACTTAATTTGCAACTCTTTACCCTTCATAACCCTTAAAGCAAAGAAAAACAAGAACACAAGCTGAATGGTTGAAGTATTCACACTAACTTTGTGCAATGATTTTACATTCAGCCTTATCAGCTAGTTTATTTAAGTTAGAAAAGCCTAGCTACTACAGGGATTCCAAGCATATACTTATCACTTCACCTTCTATCCTGAAGTATTTTAATCTTAAGCACATGTGGACATAAGGACATCAAGTGGTATTTTACTTAATCAAGTAATGTGATCTGAACATAATAAATTATTGGAATTGGTGGGGCATTGTTGGGGTGGGGTTTTTTAGCACCTGCATGCACAGGTGTTAATGTGTTCTTCCAGTGATTTTCAGATTTCCCCTACTCGTCTACAAAATTTAGTTCCAAAATGTCTTCTGGTGAGTACCAGTTACACAGAGATTAGATGCACAAAAATAATTTGTTTTAAGAAGTATTTAGCAATTCTTGGCACTTACCAGAAAGGTGTGAAATAAACAAAAGTGATTATTTTATATGTAAAAGCTTTACATAGTGTTATATTAATTTCAATTACCTAAGAACTTCTTCTGCCTGCCAAGCAGCATCTTCTTCTTCTTCCCAGGCATTTGTATTTTCTTGCCATGTATCTAGGTCTCCCAGTTCAGGCTGAAACAAAAGAGAAGTTCTAAGCACTTGGAAAAATTAGATAAAACACTGGTGTGTGACTGCCAGAGTGACTCCTGGATGACAGCAAAGTTTCCTTAATATTTCTTTTTAACCTATTTATTTTTAACCTTAATGCTTCAGACTTACAGAAATATCTGATGTATGGCTTCTCATCTTATTGTTGAGGCTTCTTTCCCTGCTCTAATACTGGGTTTTTTCAGTTGTCAAAGGGCTTTTTGCACAAAGGCAGGAAGGAAGTAGTGGAGTGTATTTTTAGAAAGAGGAAGATAAATTGAACAGATTATATGAGCAGATAGTGTAAAAGATTTCTGGAGGTTGCATGAACAAACCAACATATACATCCACATGTTTTTATGTCCAATACCAGCTGAGTGACACTTTTACTCACTGAAAAACCTTTCCTGAACTATTTTCATAAAGGACAGAACAAGGAGGTGGTATGACCATTCTGTACTGCTTCCTGCCTGTACCCTTTTGTGCACAATGTTAATCAAAGAAGAAGCACTGTTAAAAAAGGCAAAGGGCAAGGGAGGGAGAGCATCTCCTGCTAGCTGGCCAGGGTGTTAGGCAACTGGACAATCTTTTCAAAGGCTAAGGAGCAAAAATTAGGAGAGTACTACATTACAATCTCTACAGAAAGGAAAGGAGAAGCAGAAGATTAAAAATGTGTCCAAGATAATAAAGCAAAGGTAACTCAGAGGCTTTCAAAAAAGCCTTCTACTCTTTTTTTAGTAACTTACTGTGTAAAATCCAAAACTTCAAGTTCATTGCTTTAGCACATTAGCAAGCCCATAAGTATATGAAAGCTTCTTACCTTTTATCACTGATCTGTCAGGTTTCTCAGCAGAACATATTGGACTACTTCATTCTTCACTCAATTTTAAAACAATTTACATTATTCCCCAACTATTCCACTTACTCCCCACAATGCACACCTTAGGCAGACTATTCCTTCCCCTACAGAACATCACTTAACTGACAAATACAAGATCAATACTCAGAGCATACTTACAGACTGGTGAATAAAAGGAATATCTTGTGTAGCTGCTAATCTGCTAGAAAATCCTGTGTTTCCCTCTGGAATCCCGAAATTTAAAGGCTCTCGTTTTTTAATAACTATCTGAAAATATTCAAAAAAAGGAACAAAAAAGTGGTAGATCAAAGCACTGCACAGATTCCTTGGTGATTATATAACTCTGCCCATGAAGGTTCAACTACACAACACCTCACTGTGTCTTAAACCTGGTCAGATTCCGAAAGCTGCACAACCAAATGAACTTGTAAGTAAAAAATGTTAAATGCCAAAGACAAGAACTCCTCCTCCCCTCACTGGCTTTTTCTTTGGTCACATGGAAACCTGTGGCTGTATCAAGACAGAGAACAGGCACAAAGAATCACAGATCAAACAGCCACATCTCCCAGTACTCATAAAAGCTACCAATTATGTAGTATATTGCTTTGAGAAATACTGCTTCTGTGACAGGTCACTTTGAGGTCCTACTTTTGAGGACAGTGCTGTCTGCACAGTAATGTCAGCTGTAGTGCACTGTAATGTCAGGTCTCTCAACTATCCCAATAGCATATCTGCAGTTTTAATAGCTGCAAATTCTCTGTCACTGTCACTGTACTGGTTTGGCTGAAGAAGTGCTTTTCCCAAAACAGTTGCTAAGATCTAAACATTGAACATGATAAACTACGCACCAGCATCTATTCTCATTTACCAACAGCACCTTCTGTAAGTCACCAATTTACTTGCTTTTATTTTAAAGCAAAGAAAACCCTCCATAAGTACAGTTGAAAGTGTAATACTAACTTTTTGAGTTTTTCTTATAGTTGGTGTCATATCTTTGAAATAATCAGGTTCCATTTGTTCCAAAGAATTTTGCTGAGCAGCCACATTACCATTGCCACCTTCAATCTTCACACTTGTAGGTGCATCTTCATCCCATGAAGACCAGTCTTCTACTTCAGGCTGAATATAAGAATATGGTACAAGTTAATATTATCTGCAGGTAAAAACTTGTCTTTTTATATCTTGCTAAGATTTATACTTAATACTATATTGCATATATAATAGTATTATATCTTTCTTGAATATATACCAATTCAATATTGTAGGACTTGTATAATCACCCTGTTAAGGGATTAAGTCACCTACCACTTTAACAATTACCTGCTTAGGAACAGATGAATAATCCACTGTGGTTGGCAAAGTTATTTGGTCTCCACTTAACTTTCGCCCTCTTCCAGACCTGAAAAAAAAATGTAGGATTCCTCCAAGCTCTGAAAACATGAGCACTAAGTTTAAAAAAAACAAAAATAGAAGTCTGAGAACAGCACTACTGAAAATAGTCACAACTAAAACATTTAGTGCTTCAATTAACTTTGTATTAACTACTGTCAGTAAAGTCTGCTAAGCAAAGGAATTTCATCATGAATCAAAAGTTGTGTTCACAAGAATATCAAAGTGCAATTTACTTTTGTAATTGCAGTGAAATAGAAGAAAAATACTTCTGAAAAATATGAAAATGGACTAACTCATCTGCATAATTCAGTCACAATTTTTAGATTGTCAGTGCTTATGAAGCAAGTACTAGAGATCCAGGCTTGCCAAAGAACCATTTCTACTGTAAAATGAGAAAATTTTCTATTTGTCTTAAATTTTAAGCTGTGTCTAACAAAGAGCTTTCTGAGCTGCTTGATTTGAAAGCCCCTCTAAATCTTTTTCTAAAAAAAAAAAAAGTCTAAACAGATGTAGTAAAAGATTATGCATGTCAACAGCTTTAACTCAGCTCATGCTTCTACTTAAAGAATACTGTTTCAGCATTTCAGCAACTGTATAAAGTAATTTTAATGTAAAACAACACCAATGCATTGCAAATAAACCTGTATATTTACTTCATAACAATGTTCAAAGATCAGAATAATAATTAAAATATTCTTAGCTGACATTCACTGTATTTTAAATACCTTACAACACAACAGAATGTAATTCAGACTCACACTTATATTTTCCCCAAAGAATGTAAGCTCCTACAAAGTAGTCATGTAACTGACCTTAGGTAGCTAGGAAAAATTAATGTTTTTTTCTTACTACTGATGGGAATAAAACTGGGAAATTTCAATATCTAGTTTCTATCCATTAGTTTTAGTATTAGAGAACATACTATCAACTCACTAGCTGAATTGCTTGTAATATCACCTCTACTGTATGCTGGTGAGTGACTAGATGTATTTTTTTCTACTCTAGACCAACCATTCCTCCTTAGGAAAGGTCAGGTGCTATCATCAAATTTTCAAGTTTTCTATAATTAACTCTACTCCCTTTATAAACTGTTCAAGTTGAAAAGCAACATAGTTTAGGAGTAAAGGAAGGTGAAATCACTGTTCCCTCAAACACATTAGAGACTTCTGTTTGATGAGATTTACTTTACATCTCTAAAGGAAACCCAAACTTGGAAACATCCTCCTGCAGACCTCTACAACATACACATCCTTAATACTATTTACATTTAATACTATTACAAGCTATCACTTCTGCATTGTCTTTATACTAGAAGACTAGCAAGTAGCTTGTAACAAACATTCACCAAGTCAAAATGGTTACAGTAAGAAGCCTGAAGGTAGGGGGAAAGAGCTTTTGCCACACAACATCAGAAAGAATATGGTGCACACAGCAGCACTGAGGAAGGCTACAGATCTCCACTTCTTCTAGTAAGGGAAGAAGATGCTTATAGGAACAGCTGCTCCAGAGCCATCATCAGATACTGATCACTGCTCTGAATGTCAAATGCCTTGAGAATTATTGGATTTGTTTCTCCTTACTAATAAGCAGCATCCGGATTTCTCAGTCAGAGATAACTAGAGATTTTAAATGGAAGGAAGTTTCATCTCTTTTTATATTTACACATGTTATATTCTGAGAACTGAATTCCGGCAGTCTGTTTATCAAGAAAAGATTTTCCTAAAGAAAGGATCAGTACTATAGGCATGCTCTATGCTGCCTAGAAAGTTGCACAATCTCTACAGGCACTTGTTCAAATGACAACCTAATGTAAACTATGTAATGTAAGTAAGTACTAGCTCATATTCATTGAATTAAAATGTGTGTTTAATTAAATAATAATTGTTGGTTATTAGGCATATGTTATATGGAGGGGTGCATTACTGGAAAACAAAATTTATCAAAGTACATTTTGCAGTGACAGTGAACAGAAGAAACATCTGTTGTTAGTGGTCTGAATTAATGTGATCCAGTGACATGCTTATGTGAAAAACCTTAAATTTTAATTTCTTCAACTAATTGTTATTCAGCAAAGAAAGGGTTTTCTACTTTTTGTTCTTCTCAGCTGTTCATTTCAACATTATAGTTCACACAGAAGTTGGAAAAAAGGATGAAAATACTGTCACTACACTTAGAATATAATTATCTGCTTATAAAAAATTATCTTTACACTTAGAGAAATGAAGGATCCACATAACATAGAAGTTATGATGAACTCAGTGTTTTGACTTCTTTCAGAACTTGAACAAGTATTCTTAATTTAATTTGGAATTCAAATCACAGAACTAAGGCTGACATCTATATAACTGTATGCAGCATTAAAATGTTTCTTTTTAAAGCTTCACTAGATCTGTAGTGAATTTACCAACAGGTCAAGAGCTTCCATTTATTCTTGGAACAAGTAAAGGTGAAGAGGAAGTAAACAGTTATTTTGTGTCTGCCACATATTCTGCATATGCTTTAATCCTCACTGGGAAAGTAGTTGTCATCATAAACAAAAAGAGAATACATTTCTTTAGATTGGTATTTGCTTATGTAAGCAACATGCTGCAAAAGTGGCAGGAGGCACAGTAGTTCATATGACAGCACAGTGCCAAGAATTGCCTCAGGTACTGTACTACTACTGTGTTATTGAATTCTACCGCTCCACATTAACTCTTGGGGATTTTTATACTTCTTCTAAGTACTACGCTGCAGCTTTCCTGTGTCTACAACTCAAAAGAATCTACATATGACTTAAAAGAGTGTAAAAAATAAACTATTCTTCATCTTTTAAAAGAAAAAAAAAAGCGGTTTCCTTGAACTTCAATCACTGTCCTCCAAAATTCTGAAAGAATCTTCAATATGCAGAAGAATCTGAAGTCTCAGGCAACTGTTTTTTGACAAACAGGATGAGAATTGCTTTCATTTGTAATGACAGCCTACTGACCGATGACAGAGTGGATGCTCCTATTAACTAAATCTCTTAAAACACGAAGTATCACTTGCTAAGTACATTTCAAAAATGTGCAGCACAGCTTTTCTTCAAGTTTGACACGGAATAGTTTTAAAAACCATTTTAAAACCCTGTCATAGCTGTTTACAAAATCTCATTTAGCTACCATACAACAAAATACACCCACAAATAACTACACAGACTTCTGAACAAATATGCAAAATTAAAAAATTAATTTGATTTAGTTTTCATCTGTGTTGATTATTTTGCAATTAGTAAAATCGGAACTGGTTGAAGTGGTGGTTGGGTGCTGGGGGAAGGGCAGAAGTGCAAGAACCTGTAATTGAAAAACTGAAAAAGAAAAGGTAACCAAATTAAATAAGACTTGTTTACCTGCATATTAACTTTTTAATGAAAGAAAGCACTGCTGCCAGGCAAGTACAGACTTTAAAGAGTCGGAACTGTGTTATGGCCATGGTAAGAAACCCCTCCTGCAAAAGAAAAGTTAGATGCAGAGAATTATACATCTTTATACAGTACTTCAAGCAAATTACCTTAGTTGCTACTAAGCTAGCAGCATTCTGTGAAACTGTATAATGGAAGGAAAGCAAGCAGGTACCTGGAGCAAAGATGCTACCTGCCTACTATCAGGATATTTCACTGATGTAAATAATACAAGTATCTAATATAGATGGACTTTAAAGAAACAGCACAAAATCACAGGTAAAGTCACAGTTAAAGACCATCTTAAAGGGGAAGCACAGGCAACGATTTACAGTGCCTGTGCAGCTGATCTGTTTCAGACATTACCAGTGGCACTGAACACTGGCAGAGCATAAGAGAATAATCATCAGAGAGAAGCTCTTGCCTACTTGGGCAAGTCTTGCATAAACAAATTATAGATTTAGTCAATAAGTGAAACCCCAAAATTAGCTGTTTAAATTTAACTTCCGTTTTGATGGAAATGTATGATGAGAACAAACACTGCTTATTTTAGAACTAATCTCACTGAAAAATCATCATTGAAGAAAGAGTATTCATCCTGTGTAAACTACTGCACCAACTAACCCACAGAGCTACTGATATTTCTGTGCCTGACTGGATCATGATAGCAAACACAGAAAAGGAAAAATTTATCTTTGGCTGAAGCCACTCCTGTTTGTAGCTATTTTTTTCAGTGACAGTTTGATAATTTAGAGAATTTTTACTCATCACATCAATCCAACATACCACCTCAAATAGCTACAGACTGACTCAGAAAAATCTGCTGGAATTCAAGGATCCCTTTTCTCTTCTACAAGTGAACATTTCAGAGTAAAGAATAAGAGGTTAGGCTTCAGAAATAGCTTTTCATTATATACATCTACACTTGTAACAACATTTTCTGTTGCAAGTTTAACATACCTCCTGATGAGAAGAGAAGGCACCCCTGTGACATTTTCCTCAGGCCATGAGTATTCCATGGAAGGACAGCTTGATTTCAAATATGCTATGGCATTTAAATCACTTTTTATATTCCAGGCTTTAAGTTAGGAAGAGTCAGGAAGGTGGATCATTAGGTAGGCTGCTCCAATACTGTCCTGAGGATTTTATTAAAAAGGTACATAATGGGATTTGTGAGCTTCAAGGAGCATAGATGTATTTTTATTGGTGCTCATTTGCTAGATAACATAACTACTATTAAACACTGTAGTAATACAGTAATGGAAATATTGTTTTATATATTGTCCAGAACAGGACTTTCTGCTACTGAAAAATCATACAGGGGCTATTAAACAAAAAGGCTCTTTTACTGCAAAATGGAAGGCTTGAGTCAGTAGTAACCACCAAATTACAAACTGCACTACCAAGCTGTAGCTCAGGAGAAAGGCTTCATAGGACATGTATCACCTCTACTTAAACATTTATGTTACCTTATTTCATTTCATGGGAGACTTAAAAATGTAGAGAACTTCATACAAGGCTTGATTGGCACTTCATCTAACAGAATTAGAAAGCAGTCAGTTCCCACAAAGGAAGAACAAACATTGTTCGACATATTTAGCTTTCAGTTTAGAAGACTGGGCCACCGTTTCATACTATGCTCAAGCACTTTCTTACCTTTCAGAATGAGCAATGTTGACAATATCTAGATGACAGCAGAATGCATCAGTCAAGAATTTGAATGATTAGAAATAATGGAAGTCAGTGAAAGAAGAGTGAACAGTAATAAGTTCTCTATCCTAAAGGTAGAAATTACTGCAAACTAACACTGAATTGATGAAAAAAAATTGTTATTTTTAGGAGAGGCAGCTAGAAGCTATCTGCCTGGGACTTGAGGCATGAAGAGCACAAGACCTGCTGAAATGATTATAAAGGTACATCTTTTCTGAAAGGAAGCTTGTTTAGAAGGTCACTCCACTCTACGAGAATTCACTCTTTTATCAACTTGGGGGGCAGGAGGGAAGGGGAAGAACAGTACTCAGTATTAGCAAGAGAAAAGCTCTTTTCCCTTATTCAGGTTACCTGACTGCTACACTGGCCAGCACAGACAGACCCCAAATTTTAAAAACTCCTAACTATTGACTGAGAAGGTTGCTCTAGGAAGCCACCAAAAGGCTTTGCAGACTCAATATTGTTTACGCCTAAAGTCAAGGAACTAGGAAGATTACTAAGTGCAAAACTAAAACCAGACTGTTTTCAACGGTGTCAGTTACCAATACATATATTTATATGTGTACATATAAATGAGCCCAGTTTTCAACCCATCTCCATTTTTTCATATATCAAATTGTATACTGTATTAAGTTCTCAATATAAAGTTATAATATAAATTATATAAAGTTATAAAGTTAAGCAACTGAAAAAACCATAACCCACAAGAACTCTGGCTTGCAGAGTCAGTGGACTTGTGAAGTCCACTGCTGACAAGAACTAATCACCAGAAGTTAATCCATTTCCCAGGTCATTCCCATATAAGAGTGACCACACTTCCAGTATCACCAGTATGCCCATTTGGCAGAGTTCAATAGCTACCACTATTCCCCATGACAATCAGACAACTTGCACCTCTCCACTTTCCATGTGTCAGGCAAAGACTTCAGAGTTACAATGAGACGTATGGCCAGTTAACATATTTGTGATACAGCACTTCACTTCAGCTGAGCTAGAACTAGGTCCTTCAAAGGCTGGACCTGATGATCTTGGAGGTCTTTTCTAACCTTAGGGACTCTGTGATTCAAGACAGTAGTTACTGTTTTGCTCACCTCTTTTCTGAGCATTGATTGCAGTCTTCTCAGCTAAGCTGCAAACACTATAAATTATCAGATGCACAGACAGCCATAGTAGTGTTAGCAATCATTTACCTTTAAAAAGAACTTTCCTCAATGTACCTAGTTTTTATACTGCTATTTATGATGTGAAGCAGTATATGTGTATTAATTTAATTGTTTTTTATAAATTAATTTAAAACACAATCTTGAACCAATCATTGTCTCAAAATAAGGACAAGTCAAGCATTTTCCCTTTCACCTGAAACAGCACTTGAATCATGTGCATTGTTGCTCTAAGAACAGCATTACCTGAAAAGAAAGTTTTGAGTTTTGTTTGTTGCCTTTTGGGGTTGGGTTCTTTCATGCTTCAGTTTTTTTAATGTTAATTAAATTTCTCAAGGTAAACCTTTTTATATTCAGAAGTAGTTGTACGAATATAGATGTACACAGAATGCTAATTTTCCTTAGTTCACTGCAAATTTAATTCACACAATAGCATTATACTAAACTTGTTAAGTGAAACAAGGTGTTCATCCTTTTCTTGTCCGTCTTTCTCAGACACTGGAAGGAAGCACAGCCATGTATATTATCTTTCTCCTGGGGAAAAAATACTGAACAGAGTAATACTAAATGGCAGGCCACAACATTCTGTCTTTCTTTTCTTAAGCTTTTCCTTGATAAACAAACCTGAAAGGAACTACAACTGTATCAGCAGTAAATTATAACACAGGATGACAGAGACATAATACAAAGTTGCAGTGCTACATCAAGAAGCCTAAAACATTTCTTAACTGGTAGAGGCAAATGTGAAACACTGAACTAAAATTCAGAAAATCTGGTAAGAGCTGTCTGCCAGCCTGATACATCCTTCTGCACATCACACCTCATGCCTCAGCTTGCCATTTATAAAACAGGATAGATTTCCTTCTCCCACTACTGGAATTGCTTTGTTACATTTATGAACCTTAGGGTCAAATGAACTTCCATTACACTAGATATAAACAAGCAAATAAATCAAGACATGAATCCTAATGAATTTAATATTCATGGTCAACTCAACAATTCTGTAAGAGACACCAAATTTAGCTGGAGTTTGATTTGTGCATCTCATACTGCCTTCCACTGGTATGAAGTCACAACAGGTGTTCACATGGAATATGAGCACACAAAGGACTAAAAGACAACAGCCACAAGATGTTAAACACTTTAGAGCCAAGTTAGAAGAATGAAGAAACTTAAATATTTTAGGCACCCATAAAGGAAACAGAACGTAGGGAGGGAAAGTTGAAAATTTTACTGAACATTTTTCCTTTGCTTACAGCTCGCAACAGTGGCCTCATCAGAATTCCTGGCACCTCTGACTTCACTGACAGTAGCCAGCATAGTCCACCCTCAGGTGGACCGGTTAGTCAACTATGGTGCAATAAGCAAGACTCACTGTTTATCATTGTCTGATAAGCAGACTGGCACCTGGAGAAACACTTCCCTGTACACACAAATACCACTTCAACGGGATTTCCACAGACAGCCAATTCTAAAATAAACTCACTTTGGAGCACTAAAATTATTTTAGAAACTTTTTTTCTCCTAGTGAACTCATCTTTTACTGTCACGTCAGCTTTCTTTCACATCAGCTCACTTGTAAGTCTGGAATGTAAACACGAACACACCTTGGAATCAGCGATTTTAGCCCATATTAAACAAAGCTAGATGAATAACCATGATGCCTAAAATACATAAATACATAAAATACATAATGCCTAAAATAACATGTCTGAAACTGAAAGGCTCCCCTGCAATTTTCATAAGGAGACACAAAAAAAACTTCACCCTCCTAAAGCAAAACAAGAAGTTTATTTCCTAGTACAAAAGACTAATATGGCCTTGAGTGTTTACATTTGTCAGCAACAAAAATCCATACTGGTTCAGCAGTACTTTTGTGTTGCCACTAGAACAGCAGATAAAACCCTAGCAAAGTTTCAGAGGTAAGGATAGAATTTCTTGAAAGTTGATCTTGTATGAAGTTCTACGCAAGTAGAATGGCCACATCAAAGATCAGAAGTAGGTTTATAGGGAGATAGAATTGCATTAAGATTAGTAGAAAGAGATAAAACACCTGTTTTCAAGCACACATACCCTCTTCCAAACCATGTATGTTACAAGACGTGTAAAGACACTGCATTTTAAAAAAGACAACATAATAATTCAAGAACAGCTTTCAGTCAGGTACTGAAAGAAAAAACCAGCACTTCCTGCATTTCAGAGACAGCAACCATGACTCTACACCCTAGTGAGAGGTTCCACTACCCCCTTCCTGGTAGATTTGTTTGGTTTCTTGTTTTTTTCATCACTTTACACAGAAACATAATATAGGGAACACTTATGTGTGGAGGGAAAAAGTCCTGTCTTAACCACTGAGTTTGATAAATAGATTAAGTGGCAGCATGACTGAACCATATAGCCATGCTATTATGGCATTAAGAAGAGAAGCAGAATCAAAAGGGAAGATCAGGAAGCATCTTCTCTAATTGTAGGTGATTGTGGGACCTTTGTAATGGTACTCTAGTTTCAACACTGATGTTCCAACTTTCAGTGGAAATACCCTAACTAGGCAGTTAAAGTAGCTGGCACAGAAGACAGCTCACTCACATTAATCATAGGCAGAGTAAAGTCATCCAAGGCCCCGTGTGAGATTAGAAGCAATGTTAGAACACTGCCATAGACAGGCAGTGAAAGCTAAGGGGCTGGGCAAAGTTAAAAAGGCACGCCCTGGAGGGCGTTTTTCTGGATCTTAGAGTTAAGAATCAGAAACAAGGGCACACACTCTGTGTCTCAGACTCCAACAAAATCCATAAAGAGATACTACCAAAAGCTGCAAAAGATACTGAAAGTCAAGGCAGAATGTCTATCTCTCTAACTGAAGGCAGCAAAAATGGGTGACTGCTGGCAATTCCTGAGTTAATACTCTGATATACAACACACAGAGTTTCAACTATTTTTTAAACATGTTATTCCCAGAGCCATAAAACTTCTATAGTGATATCACCACATCTCACTCCTTCCTCTCCAAGAAACTGAATATAGTTAGTCTCACTAATGTGAGCTCCTGAAGCTTTCTGTTCTGAATTAGAATAAATTCTACTCTTCAAGGCAATATTAGTTAAAATAGACAGTTTATATCCACTGAATGGTCAGTTATTCTTTGACAATTCCTTACCTATATACACCACTGTCTTGTAAAAACCATACAGAGCACAGCTTGAAGTAATGCAATCTTGTTAGACTACACTATAACTTCATTCATCTTTGAAACAAGTCTTCTACATAATGCACTAATTCACATAACCTCTACGATGTAGAAAAGTTACACAAAGAGTTCTTCTTTTGTGAAGTAACTCACTTCACAAAACTGAAGTTCTCAGACACAGAACCAGAGTTTAAGAGACCCCAGTTCTGTTCCAGTCCTTATTTGCCATTCTGGACCTAAGTTTTCTGTAGCTACATGGAATGCCAGAGACAACAAATTTACACACTCATTGTTACTACTACAAAATCATCTTGTAATGCTTGTCTTGACAAGAACCAACTATTTACAAACAATGACACTACAAGACAACCAAAAGAAATCTCTTCAGTGCACGTGTGTATTTCCACAGAGCTATAAAGCAGCAAGCTATGGCATTTTTCATTAGATATGCAACTCAGGCACTTGCACTGTGAATTCATAACCAAAAAGCAGTGCCCTACCATTCTACTGACCAGCCAAGGTCTGAATATTTTTAGAGACAGCATCGAAGCCAGATAGTAGCACTTAAGTTTTCTGTGAGCTGTTAGAAATTCCGAAGTATTTAGAAGTGTGCTAAGAATTGTTCACACTACATATTATTAAATTTGTCCGTCAGCGTGAACAGTAGGTAACCCCAAGCAATGCCGTCCCACCACGAGCTCTGACAGAACGTGTGCCCTCGCCCTCTCCCACAGGGGGCCAAGCCCCTCAGTCCCCATACGCTGCCGATCTACTGGTCCGCCACTTCAGGTTCTTCGCACCCCATGAGATCCCCCGCACTTCGCCCCGGAAGAGGCCCAGAGGGCCGGGCAGAGGCCGCGGGCCTGGCGCTCCCGGGCCGGCCGAGCAGCCCCAGCGCTGGCCGAGGGCCGCGGGGTCACAGTGCCGCGGGGGCCACAGCGCCCCGAGGACGGGGCGAGGCGGGGGCGCTGCCGCGGGAGAACCGCGCGGGCGGCTCTGCCCCGGGAGGGAAGATGCCGAGGCCGGGCCCCTGCCCAGCAAGGCGGAAGCAGCACCTGGCGGCGCAGGAACCGACCCTCCTCGCTCACCTGCCCCGGGGGGGAGGCCTCGCCGGGGGTCGCGGGGCTCCAGGGGCCGAGGCGGCCGCTCCCGCAGCCTCCGGCCGCCCCTCATCCAGAGCCGGGCCCGCGCCGCTCCGCCGCCTCGCACGCCGCCATCTCGGCCCCGTCACCCGGGAGAGGCGGCCGCCCCTTCCGGCCGTGCACCGCCTCCCCTGCGCTCCGCTCCGCCCCGCTCGGGCCGTCCGGGGGCTGCGGCTGGGGCCGGGGCCGGGGCCGGGGCCGGGTACAGGTACAGGTACAGGTACAGGTACAGGTACAGGTACAGCTGTGCCGGGCTGCCCGCGCCAACAACGGCCTGCGCCCTTCCCAGCCTGCCTTCCTCCGCGCCCACAGTGGCTGAGGGTCTGAGCCGGCTCTTTGGCCCTGTGGGGAGCTACCAGAAAAAGGCGCTGCCCTTTAGCCGTGGCGGGTTGTTGCACACGTGGCAGTAAAGGTGTTCCTCTATTGTCGATAGGGTGCTGAGCTGTAAATTTGGATGTTAATAAAAACAAACATTGCTGAAGTTGCTTCTGACGGGTGAAGCTCCAGTGCCACAGTTTGTTAACCAACTGCTTATCGGTTTTAATGGCTGGTTAAGTGATGTTAAGTTAATGTAAGGCTTTCCAGAGCTCTGCGTAAAACTCCAGTTGTGTTACACTCGGTAGGTGAGGTAAAAGGGGTGTTCGTCTCTTTCTTCCATGGAAATCTATTCAGTTCTAGTGCAGCACTAATACAGCATTCCTTTCAACTCCAAGCTGTAGCACTTGGTTCATTGTGTGCTCTTTAAATATCGTGGTATGAAGACTTCATTTTCTGCCACTGGATTTACTCAGCTGCTGTATTTCAAATGTGTGTCGGGCATCCATCCATCAGATGGATGATAGGAGAATGGCTCTTGTGAGGAGGCACTGGTATCGGATAGAGTTCCTTCATTTCCTAATAGACACCATGACTGATTTTCCACAACTCTTCATCAAAAAGCAGACCCCAAAGGGCCAAAGAACCAAACATGATATAGCTGACCATGTGGCAAGGACCCTGCCAGCCAGGACACAGCAGGGTGATCTGGGGGCAGCTCAGAGTCCAGACTACCAGGCAGGTTTCTGGTGAAGAGGCAGATCTGAGGACAAGCCAGTGAGTCTGCACTGGTCGAAGATCAGTAGAGTCTATATCAAGTCAGGACATGGTTGTGGCCAAGCTTAAGGGCAGCACTCCTATGATGTTGAGGTGAGGATTAACACCCTTATGCCTGCAGAACCCACCTTCAATAAGAGAAATCCATATGCAATGCTGGTTTTTATTTTAAAACCATTTCAAAACCATTTGTGTAGCAGAGATATACCTTTCAGTATAACTTTATGTCTAAAACAGAAACTGGAATATAATCTTTGCATTCACACAGAAAAGCAAAACTGCAAGTGTGACACACTGGGAAAGGTAAGGTTATGAAGAGAGCCAGTTAAATTTCTTTTGAGAACACATTCAGATTTTGGCATTACAATCTATATATTCAGTAGGTAACATGCCACAGTAAGAAGGATTTTAACATATGCAGATAAACACCTACTTAATATGTATATGCATAATATATGCATATAAACTCCTACTACTTAATATAAAAAACTGCCTGAAAGGCTCACCCACACTATCCACCTAAATGCACAACAGACCTTTGTGTGGCTGTTGCATTAATGAAAAAATGCTGGAAATTGGCTGACCACTAATGGAAAATAAGTCTTCTGAAAAAACATAATTATGGAGTTTCAAAATCAGTAATAATATAAACATATCTTAATTTTGAAAAGCAATGTTCACAGGGATAAATACTTAAGTATTCAAAAATGTCATAAACCCTCAGCTCTGAAGTTTTAAATTTGGATTCCTTTGGCTCAGTTAATTTTCCTAAAGAGATTTCCTGAAATCTTGAGTATTTCATTGCCATATTGAATGCAGTACTGCTACAGTAAACTAATCAAGTTAGTTAGAGAACTATATATTTTTAATATCTTTTACAGATATTAAGGCTTAAACATATTAAACCATTAAACATTAAATATTATCTGACAATTTGCAAGTGTGCTAATCTCACTTCTTTTACATCTATGGCACTTGCCATCTCTTCAAAGGTTGATAGTTCCGTTATCCTGATACATTCATGTGTACTCAATAACCTCATTCTGTCTGTAAAAGTGATACAATCTCTTTCAATATGAATTCTCCCTCCTACCAGATATATGCTTTATTTGTTTGTTTGTTGTCTCAAGTGATTGTCTCTTAAAGCTACAAATAGCTTTTTTACTAAGAGTACCTTTCCTCAATTACACTCCTAATGCATTTTGTAGTAATTCAAGTTTTACATTTACGGAATCAATTTTACCTTCAACAAGTGTTTGATTCTCGTGAAAGCAGAGTTTTCATGGTTCTAACCCTAGAAAAATTGCAGGTTTTTACTGTAAAATGCAGAAGTAATTTTATACACTGCTACTACAAATTTAATCATCAAAATGTCTTGAAACTCCAGATGAGAAGAGGCAGCTCCATTGTTAAATACATTTTCAATTCATTTGGTATTCCTGAGCATATATTTTGGTTAATATCTAAGGATTGTCCAAATAATTTGCTTAAGTTTAGACAAATATGTATCCTAGCCTGTGTGAAAATATGACCCAAGTAATTAACCAAGTAGTCACAAAAGCCCCTTTTCTCTCTAAAGGTCTTCCTGGATAAAGCTGTACACTCCTCTGCCTCTGCCAGCATATCTTAAATTCCTTTCCTTATTTCCACTAAGGCTTCATATACCTTGTAGAGGAAAATTCCAGACCAGTGATCTTGGTAAGAGGCCTTTATAGGAAAATTCAACAAACTGACTTTTAGCAAGCATATAATATACAAAAATAATATTTGTAACTTTGAAATGGAGCACATCCCAAGCACCTGTTTTGGAATCAAAAGAGGCCAAAGAGCAGCAGTGACTGCCTAGGTCTCCCTGAGCTCAGATAACTGTGTAGGTTTGGTCTTCTGCTGGACTGGGCAGTTTCATTGCACCCCTGAGAATGTTTCAGGGGTTCTTTCTCCTTTGAGCATTTCTCTCTGAGGCACTAACCTTCACACTGGAGCCTGGCCAGCTGACAGCATCTTTTATGAGGTAGAGTCCCCAGTCTAGAAAGGGGAATACCCATCTCAGGTTGAAACAGGCAGGCTGTTTTTTTCAGTGTTGTAAGAAGTTAGAGGTGATAAGGAATGTGTGATTTTAGCCTAGTGCTGAGTAATTTCCTGACAAGACTATCCTGTGTTCTTCTCTCTGCTGACAGCATCAGCTCCTTCTTCCTAGGATGTTTCTATATTTAATATGATGAGTTAATATGCAGAATAGATGGTAGGAGTAGTACCAAAATCCAGTTTTCCTTGTCCCTGCAATATTACTCATATTTCTCAACTAAAAATTCAGGAAAGGATAATGGGGCCTCTTTTTTTATACAGCTAATTTATCACTTCATTACTAAACAGCAAATCTTCCTTCCATCCTGTCATATTCAGCCATTAAGTAATCTTTCTTAACTTACACAGCCTGTCTTTTGTTCTTATAAGGAAAAAAAAATGCATTAAGTTGAAGTTATCAGAAACTGGATCCCAAGCACTATGTTAGCATTTGAATTCAAATCCTCTAAGTACTTGAGTATCTAGCATGTTGCTCTATAAAAATATTTATTTACATAGATGTGTTTGTGTGTGCATGCCTGCAAATGTATTATTTGCAAGAAAACAGAAGACAGAGGGCATAGCATGGAAACATAATGTCATGAAATTTTATTGGAAAAAGCATTTAGGAAAGCAAAGGATTTTCTTCCAAGAGTTGTTTTTGGTTGTGGTTGGGCAGATGGTTGATTGGTTGGTTGGTTGGTTGGTTGGTTGGTTGGTTGGTATTCAAGGGGAGAGAATAATAAAGTTTTTCTTTGTTTCTTCATACTTCAGCATTTGTTAGAGGAATTTCTATGAATTTAGAAAATGCAAGTTCCTTTAATTCATGCTCTTTGTCAGATCATGGTCTAATTTCAAGCAGAATTACTCTGAAGTTAGGAAAAGAACTTAATAGAAAAATATTAATAATGACTCCTTACTTTTCCCATTTTAAAATAAATCAGTTCAGCAAAAAAGACCTATGTTACAGCCCAAAAACTTCAATATTTGTATTCTGATCTGAATACCAGTGTGCCAAGACCAAGTGGCTGTTGGAAGTGTTGAGTGTTCCCAAAATTTGTATAAAAACAATGTGAGTTCCAGACAAACCTTAATGTCTCATTAAAATTTGGACTGTGAAACTAGATCCCTTTTGATGTGGGGAAAAAACCAACAGCTAATTTTGAATATAACTGTGTAACCTCATGTACATACAGTCTGAAGGAGAGAGAGCAATCAAAGAAGATATATGAGGAAGTAAAATAAATACATTTTTTCATTCATTATACAACTTCCTCATACGAGGGGAAGAGAAGGGGCTGACACTGATCCCTGCTCTGTGGTGACCAGTGACAGGAGCCAAGGGAATGGCTTGAAGCTGTGTCAGGGGAGGTTTAGGCTGGACATCAGGAAAAGGTTCTTCACCCAGAGGATGGTTGGCACGGGAAGAGTTCCCCAGGGAGATGGTCACAGCACCACTTACAAAGTTCAAGAAGCATTTAGACCATACTGTCAGACACATGGTGTGATTCTTGGGTGTGCTTCTGTGCAAGACTAGGATTTCAACTTGATATTCCTTGCTGATCCCTTCCAACTCAGATTATTCTGTGATTCTGTGATCATCAAGTTTTCCTGTTCACTTCATGATAGTGAGGAAGCATTTTAAGTTATATTTATCATTACAGCAGTCAGTAGGCTGAAACCAGGCTTAGATCACACTCTTTTTGATCTTTATTCGACAAAGGAAGAACAATCCTCTTCTGGCCATTGGCTATTTCATGAAATTTCTCCTGCAAAATATGTGTCAACAGGTATTTTGAAATGTAAGCTGAACAACTCAAATATTAGCAAATTGATCCAGGGTTTGGGCAGAAACTTACCTCAGGTTGAAATGTGCATGAAAATATTAACAAATTAGCTAGAGATAGCATTTTTCAATCCAGGTTTCA